TAGCTAAGAGTTTCGGATGAGACGAAAACTCCTCCAAAAACTGTCGAGACGACCAAAATTCCCATAAGACACTGTATATCCTAAACCAAATTTATCAGATGTACAAGATTATTTTCGGACACTATGACATAGATTCTCATATGTTCTTTGATTTTAATGTATTAGCAAAAACGCGTATGAACCATAATTTTAAGATAAGACCCAAGAAGACACGTACAAATTACTTTAAATTTTCATTTTTAATCGCTACAGACTGGAATAGTATTCCATCGAACATTATGCATGCACCTTCATTAAGCAGTTTTAACTCCTATCTATTACATCATTTGTGTCAATTTTAAATCAGGTGTAACTCGTGAGTGACAAGTATGCAATTTAATTAGGTTAGGGACGGACCATTAGAAAAGTTATGGGGAGGGAGGGGAATTTTCGAGCTGCAAGAATTTTTTTTCGTTATCAAATTCTTTGCATGAATTTTATTTAGGCCATTGCATGAATATTTCTTAGGGTTAATTAACGTGCATGAATTTTTTTTCATTTAATTTTCCCTTGCGCGAATATTTTTTTTGTACCTCCCCATAAGTTTTCTAATGGTCCGTCCCTTAGCTTTGGGCCGTATTTAAATTTTACTTCTTAATTTTTTGTGTCAATTTTAGTATGCAATTTAATTAAATTAGTTTTGGGCCGCATTTAAATTTTACTTCTTAATTTTTAGTATGTTTGATATTGAAGAATATTCTTTGTATGAGAATTTAGTTTCCCCCAATTAGTCTCCAGTTATGCATTTTTCGTATTTTCTGTAATTTATTGACTTGTTTTTGCATGACAAAGTATTGTTAAACTTAAACTGAAACTACAGTTGCGAATCCAGGGGAGGGGCCTGGCCCCGGGGGGGGGGGGGGGACTGGCCTGTTCCCCCACTTACTTTTAGACCAAACTGAGGCCCGAAGGCCACTGCTGTATAATTAAGGACCAAACTCTCAAGTTTCTTTATTTTTGTGGTAGTTAACAACAGTTACTATGGCTCCTTCCAAATAAATAGAAATGAAGAACCTTATAAATTTAGAACCTTTTTTGCCAGACCTCCAATAATGTAGTAATTTGCCCAATAAGACTGCTGCGGCCTTACCGGAAATCTGGTGGTCAAATTGTTCCACTTACGGTTATGGTGAAATCGTATATTACGGAGAATATTGTTATCCTAAGGCAGAATATATAGAACGGGGCATTCTGCTTGGTTGAGGAGTCATGGTCAAAGAGGTTGTCTTCTTTGAAGAATTTTGTCAAGCGTACGACGTTTCACAACTTCCACGAGCATTTTTGTAGTGGCACCAACTTCCAATCTATTTTCCTGTTGTTTGACGTATTTATGGTAAATTCAGGTGCGCGTAGAGAGGATAATCTCTTTTTGTGGCGTCGGCGTGTCAGTTATTTCCCATCGAATCTGTTGGCCTTTTCTCAGAGAGCCTAAGAAGCCGTCTCTTTTACAACCCTCGTTTTTGACTGACGCTCAAATTGTCTCACTCATGCAGTTCGCTCTCCAGTCCAACACGCAATATGCCTTGTGATGTTTGTGCCGGTCCATTCAAATTAGCCCTCCAGGGGGGACATCCTAAGGATTTTCTGTATACACAGAAGAGACAATTGGTTATTTATCAGTTAGAGGGTACGAAAAAAATGATCTTGCACCACCTGTTTTGCCTTTTGCAACATGTGGTCAAGCACATGTGTAATTCGAATTAACCTTTTAGCACACAAAGATACCACATAATGGTCTCGCTTTCCCTCTAATTTGAATCATTAGGCTGAATAGCCTGTCTTGTGGGGAACAGGGAGATTGCTTTTCTCGAGATTCTCAGCGTACCACTCAGAAATAAACAACAAACATAGATAAAGTTTAAAAGCCTTTAATTTATTTTAAAGAATGACACCAAATATATAGAAACTGACAAAAGCTGGACATTCGTTTATGAAATAGGCCACTGTCGATATATCCATTGACGTCATGTCCTGAGAACATGAGGAAGAAGAGTGAGGACTTTCGTTTCTTCTGGTTTTCTTGGCCTGGCTATGAGTTTGAATAATAGCACGATATATCAAAGTGACCCCATTCATACCGAAGCCCCTACAATACTTAATCTTACCCTTGCCATTCAAAAATTTATTATTATCATTATAAAATGAAGCACTATTGTATTAAAGTGAAGCACTATGTATTAAATGAATAAATGTAGTTGCATAAATTAAGTTATTGCTACAACCATTGAAACGTTCTTGCTGGTGCTGACTTCGTTCCTGGTGTATGATCCATTAAGTAAAAGAATTATATAAATTATGCAAATCGAAGTGGGGTATCGGATGAACGCCGAGGCGGATAACTTCTTTCCCGCCTCTGACCCTAATTGCGTACCTTTAGAGAATAGTGTGTTATATATACTGACTTCCAAACCAGATCTTAGCTACAGAAATTGTAACAAAGGTTCCTGCATTGCTTATTGTATTGGCACCATTGGTCGGAAATTGAATGTTATTTTTTCCGAACTGCCCTGATAATCCGAATCTTCACTTTTCATATCCAGACGTGGGTTTCCCAAGTGATCTGCTACTGACACTACTTGAAAAAAACGCAAAAGCTAAACTATAATCACTATAATTATTATTCAACACCAGCAAAGGTCTCTACAATAATTAAGCTTTTTTTCTTCTACTGCCGCAATATTGTTATGGTGAACCGAAGTGCCTTTTTATCACCTTACTCCTCAGTAATGTCACCTTTTGGAGTCAATAGTTCGTTTCTCCAACATGACAGGACATGTTTATAGCGAGTGGCAATGTTGTAATCTAACCTACCCGATTGAAACGTTCGTAACATTGAATTGTAGCCACGGAATTATGTGGTAGGTTAATATCTGGCGTCTGAGGAACTCTGAAGGCTATGATCAGTCACACTATGCCGGAAAGTCCTTGCACCGACACGAAAATAATCACCGGATTTTGCTTTTGTCAGTTCATCTAGAAGAACGGTGATTTTCCGGCTATTTCTGTTAAGGAGCGAAACTGGGCCGCCGGCGGTCTAGAAAAGTGGATCATCACATATCGGATAGGTTTCTGCCACTTTTCGTCGCAGTGTGAACAGGTTTTCAAGTGAAATGAGTAGGAGCGAGCATAGGCTGGGACCCACCTGATATGAAGGTATATTTTTAGGCACTGATTTAGTACACCAAACTGGCCTCTCGGCCTGCCGACCGCTCTGGTGCGATGTTCGATGTGTGTGGACGACTTGTTCCAGTTCTATACGGTTGTCGCTCATACTACTGGATACATTTTTATTATATACATACTGAGAAATACTCACCAAAAAGCTATGTCGTAAATTTTCGTACGCAAATTAGTTATAGCCAATCAGAGGAGCGAACGATGGTTTTCACACGTGAAAAAAACGATACGTCCAATCAGAATCGCGAACGATGTTTTTTCACGTGTGAGAAAAATGATACGTCCAATCAGAAGCCACAGAGGTGTGCGAGTTTCGCGCCAAAATTCCCGCCTTTTATTGCAGCTTGCAGCGCCGCTTCGCACACATTTATCAACGAGAAAAGTTTTACTCAAGGAGTTTTTCTCGCTAAAAAAGTGAAAAACATTTCGGAAATGGAGTGGAATAGTTTCGTTTGTTTCACTGTCGATAAAAAAATACGGTAGAGAGCCGGCGAAACAACAGCGGAAAGGGATAAACAGAACGAGACGTAAGCTTTTGTTGTGCTTTTTGTCGGAGCTACTTTGCCTTTCATTTAAGCTAAAAGGTTATATTGAAACCGGCCATTTTACTTAAATTCACTCATTTTCAATTGTGCATTGAGAACAAACAGTTAAGATTACTTATAGTTCTTGGATTAAACCTCATATCCTCACCGTCATTTATGTTTTTAACAAACGTTTTTACTAAAAAGCTGATACTTCGTTTTCGTTGTCATTTTGCGGTAAGTGTGTAGCGGCAAATTTTAGCATTTTTGAAAGATTTAAAATAAAAAGGCCTCCAAAATGATGAATGACTCAGTATGTATATAATTAACACAATACCACATGGAAAGTGCTTTGTACGGTATTTACGCACTCGTTGTTTTTGTATCAGAAATCTTACTCGTTCGCTGCGCTCACTCGTTCGATTTCTGATACGTCAACAACTCGTGCGTAAATACCGTACGCCAGCACTTTCCATGAAGTATTCTCTATTTCATGTCGACACGAAAATCTATTTCCAGTATAGTGTGGACAGACTAAAAAAGTAAAAGAAACAATCCGAACTACTAACAATTTAATAGTCATTTGTAGAGAATAAACCGATTTTAGTCCCTACAATCGTTATATAATTATATTACCAGTGCTATTCAGTATCTTCTCGATGTCTTGTTAATGAAATTAAATATTATTAACTATCTTATTGTAATGCTCGTCATCTCAGTCCTGTTCCTTGCTGGGCGAGGGAACTCCCATATGAAAATGACAGGGTTGCTAGTCTCTCTTAGACGTAGACATTAAAGTTTTTGGTCTCAGTTTTGTGCAAGACAAAAAGCCAATATTTTTAACCATAAATGTATCACTTAACCCCCTGCAAACGGACGTAACCTTGTTGGCCAACAACTCGCAACATTGTTCAACATGGTTGGAAGTTGTTGGGTTCGTTTGCGCGTAGCTTTAGGGTTGTGCGTAAAGGAATATCTATATGCAAAAAGACGTTGTCATAATGAGTTAGAGAGTGTTCTACTTTGGCTGCCATTTTTCATCGTAATTGAGGAGACTGGTTATGAATACTGGCAAACAGTGAAGATGAAAACAACGGTGTTCAGTTTATGGGAATAGTTTCTTGGTGTTGCAGAAGGTGCAACTGCACTTATTAATCTACTTATCCGTCAAGCACTTCCTTCATATTGGAGTTCCCCTTCCCCCCGAGACCCCTATAACAATCTAAAGAAAAATATTAACCAGTAGAGATCCTACAGAAATTACAGCTTCGTATCAAGAGTACTAGTTTTACTGGTGTTAGTAGCGGATGCCTCACGGTAACATGGCTGGTTCTGATCCAGGAGTCTGAAATAATAGTAAGGGGTATCTTCTGTCATCATCTCTTCCAGTATCGGTATTAGTTCAACGAATGAGGGTCGTTCATTTGGATCCTCCTTCCAGCAGTCCATCATCAATTTGTGTCTGTTTAGAAAGGAAAACATAGTTAAAAATACCACTACACAAAGATATGTGTCCATTTACTTTGAATATTGAAGACACTTATGTTCTATAGGCTCTTTTTAGAATGGGGCAACGTAAAGGAAAGAGGCGCGCTGAAGTTTCCACTCCTTGGAAAAGGCTAACAATTTTAGGAAAAAAAACTGTTTGAAGGACTATGTAAGTATTTCTTCATCATGTCCTCTGTTCGGAGGTCTTTTATTATTTCTATTCTGACTTACATTTCATAGCTGCACGTGTTGGGTTTCTCCATCCGATATCCAGATTTAAGTAAACTGCATAGCCTCATAGGGCTTATCCCAGGGTACGGAGTACCCCCTAAAATAACAAAATAAAGATCAATGCTGTCTTATCAAAGATTATCAGGCTTTTCTAATTTTTCATTTTGAAATCGCTGGTGATCCCTTCAATCTGATTGGCTCTCAGCAGTGTGATTTATTTACGAATCACACAATCACATCTGTTCTAAATCGCGTTATTTATGTTCTAAACCACGTCGCACCGTCGCACCTTGCTTTATATCGCATCATTTCTGTTTCGAATACAAATGAGATGAAAAAGCCCTTTTGTTTCCGCTTTTCAACAGGCTATTTGATCTGCCCACAGGCAGGTCCTTCCTTATAGTTCTCGATTTAAGACACGCATTTTGACCGCTACGTAAAAGCTGCCATCCTTCACTCTATCCAGCATTTCCGCTTGAGGTCTTCCAGGTGGTCTTTTTCCTGGTATTCTTCCCTCAATAACTAATGAGACACGATCACAATGTCGTAGGGTTTGACCAAGCCAGACTCTCTGTCTTCTGTTGATAACAGATATGATGGCACTCTCCTCACCGTCACGCCTCAATACTTCTTCGTTACAGACTTTGTCAGACCAATATATGTTTAAAACCTTTCTCCAAAGCCACATTCCACAGCTCTCCAGCCTTCGCACGTCCTCTTTCTTTAAGGTCTATCATTCGGCTCCATTCAGAAGAGTACCCCAGATGACAGTCTCTATTATTCTCTTCTTCAGGCAAAGGCTAGCGCGATGAAGGCTTTTGTCAGCAGTTCTTTTTTCTTAGTAAACGCGTTTTCGGGCTATTCTCGATCTAATTTATTTTTAACAGGATCCATCCTGTGTAATGAGGCTCCCAAGGTAGTTAAAGTGCGACGATTGTTGACTTAATTGTTTACCCTCAAGAAAGATCGTGAATTCGTCACCAGGCCTCTTACAGATTTTCTTCACCTTAGTCTTCTTAACATTGATCTTTATATCATATTCCCCCGCGCTTTCCTGCATTTTACCCATCATAAGTTGCAGACCTTTAACTGAATTGGCTAAGGTTGCTTGATCATCCGCAAAGCGCACTGTCTTAATGAGATGACCTCCCACTTGAATACCTTCATTCACACCACTTAAGGCGCTAGCATCTCTTCATAGCTTCAGAATATATGTTAACGAGTATGGGGGACAACGAGCTAACTTGTCTGGTGCCACGGCCAATCACTGTTGGTACGGATTGAATTTTGCGATTTCAAAATGGCTGTAATAAAGTGATAATTTTACTTCGTGTCGTGCAATTTTAGTCTGAAACCATACTTCTGATCTCGAATCGAACTCGCGCTCCAATCACACGTATGATTTCAGACCAAATTGCTCTCCACTCAGTTCAATGACCATCATGTATTATCAATTTACCAACCTCCAGGAGGGATTAAAATAACGTAATGTACATGTTTAACATTACTGAGTATTCATTTCGCCAAGTGACACGTGATATCAGGTCAAGTTGTTGTTAAGGGTATGACTTATAGGCTGGATTATTATCAGCCTGCGCTCCTCCCCGGTAAAGACGGCTAGGAGAGCGGCGGAAGTTAGCCTATTATTTTTTTTCTAGTTGTTTAGCAATCACGACATTATGCGAGAATGTCTTCTTTTATAAAGCGGTTCGATTCTCCCGTGACTGCTATCCGAAAATTGAACAGTCAGCTTTTCCCTAACTACTGTCATTGGGGATTCCTCTCAATTCCCTCGGGTATAGGAAAATGACTAGAGTATTATTCTACCAGCATCAGTATACAAAGATTTTATAAAACTAGCTTACCCATGGTGGCTAGTTCCCACAAAACAACTCCAAAAGACCATCTGCAATAAAAGGAAGCAGATAAAGAAATTGCAAGAATTAACTTCATAGAAATATCAATTTTGTTTATCTCGCCCCATGGATGGTAATCCAGGAAATTTTTGCTTGGAGTCATGGACTTTGGAATCCGGAATCCAGCTAACTATGAAATTCTGGAATCTAGGCCTTTTGAAATCTGGAATACACTGAGTTGGAATCCGGAATCTAGTATCTGGAATCCGGGATGTGGAGCCTGGAATCTAGAATTCAAGATGGTCTCTGATTAACTTCATTGGCTCAAAGTTTCTGTTTATATATCTTATTTTCAAGATTCACGCCTGGAACAGGCTAATGTTTTCCAAACACTTGAGTATTTCTTTAGAGATAGAGTGATAACCGCTACTGTAGACAGTGTCATGATCAAAATTGTGCTCTTTCTTTTCAGACAGTTCTAAACAGTACATTGCAGGGTCTTTGTTATCTAAAACCTCAACTTTACACTGCATCACAGGAAGCCTAAGCTTGGCCTAACTGTGACCTCGTTAACATATACTCACACGTCAGTCTTGAAAGTAAAAATGCCGCTTTCCAACGCTTCAGGTGCCATCCATTTCATTGGTAGCTTGTGTACGCTCGTAACTTCGTATATTTCACTCTCATTTGCGTGGCGTAACAAACCAAAATCAGCAATCTTCACCGCTCTGTCCTCACCAAGTAGGATATTACGGGCTGCCAGGTCACGATGAATGAATCCTTTGCTGGCCAAGTATTCCTGTCAGAGAAATAACGATCTCAAAGAATTTTTAGTTACCAGATACCTTTAGATGAAAAAAACATTTCCAATATGAAATTAAAATGGAAGCTCGATTTTACGATATGGCAGGGGGATACCAGTTTAATCGGGATATCGTTGTAAACGAACTCCCGATTTAACGATTTGGCGGGAAAGCAACCAAGTGCAATGGAACGTCTGTTCCAGGCTCAAAGATAGCCCGCCACCGCCCCTTTTTCCTAGATCACGCTTTTATATTTTTGCCGGTGCCTTACGCTTTTTTGCCTTATTTTTGCCGGTGCCACCCCTACTATCGAGAGCCTGGAACAGGCTACTGCACGCTGTGCCTGGCAAACGGTCTGGAAAGCGGGAGGAAGTGATCGTCGGTCTATTCATGAAGAATGGAGGGAGGATTTCCGTCACAGCTGTTGGAAAACAAGAAACAAATTAAGGAATTGGCCAAGAAATCCCCGCGACGTATACTTTTCAGCACAAAAAGCCGTCAAATTTGAACAAGCTAAGTGAACTACAGTCGACTCCAGCTCGAACCCTCGCTAACTCGAACCTTGTGCTACCTCGAACCAGAATCCATTTCCCCTGATTTCCTTTACTGTAATTTATCCTCGGTAACTCGAACCCTCGATAACTCGAAACTCCCGCTAACTCGAAGTAATTTTTGTTTCCCTTCAGATCACTTTCATGCAATTTTACCCTCGATAACTCGAAGGGATGAATATTGGCTGAAAAATAAGGTTTTCAGTTAAGATTTCAACTGCGGAAGAAAACCCGTTGACACCTGTTGACACTTAATTAGATGCTGTTTTTCAGGGAGACTTAAGGTGAGTGGAATAAAGCCCTTCTTAGACTGCCACGCCCGAAAAAGAAAAAAAAAACTATTGGTTGTTACTATACTGCTGATTTCTATTTCGAAGTCACCCAAAATGGCATACCCTCAGTGAAGATTATTCATTTAGAAATTAGATTTTTTCGTTAAAAAAGGTTCATTCATACCAATGAATAAACAGCAATTATTGGATGAGGCAGAGTTATGCGGATCACCGGGAGGGTGTTATTCGCTAAACCCAAAAGCCAAATATACAGCTGAGCCAGAAGATACCGTAAAATTCCGAAAATAAGCCCCTCCATGTACAAGCCCCCCAAACTCGTAACCCAAAAAACCCTCCGTTAAATCGCCCCTCCATATATAAGCCCCGCGAGAAGCTTGTACTTGGAAATTTCCTTCCAACTATAAGGCTAGCCCAATCGATTTTGAAACACAAATTTCCCTCCATAGATGAGCCCCTCCAAAAATAAGCCCCTCAAAAAGGCCTTTGAAAAATATAAGCCCCGGGGCTTATTTTCGGAATTTTACCGTATATCAATTGAGCTTACAATAGTTAGCAAATACCATCATGGTTGCCGTTTACAAAAAGCAATCCCTTAGCTTCAATCATCAGTTCCACTTGCAGACCGTTTATTGTGCTTTCCAAGATTCAGATTACGGGAGTATTTAAGAGTGATTTTCTGTAAAATTCGAACTTCGGCCTGACACGGTACCTCATCGATTTGGCTGATTTTCGGCATGTAGTCTTAGAATGGTGTCCTAAATACTGAATGCATATTCTAAGGTTCGAATTCTCTTTGGTTTCAAAGATACAGGAATGACAGTTTTGGCGGGGCCTCGAGGGGCCGCCATGTTGGTGAACTGAAGGAGATTTACAGTAATTAATCCTAGCCTTATCATTGAAATAACTTTATTGTGACTCATACAGTTGCAAAGAACTATCCTTCCTCCTTTCATTTACCCACTCTTATCTGAAAATGGTTAAGCCTGAGCTACGAACGGCTATAACTTCTCACAGCACTTGTTCGGTACTTAAAAAGTACACAAATTTGGTAGAAATTGGAAGGCCAATATCACCCTTGCCACATCGATTTAGACTAAGCCATTTTAACTAAACATAGTTTGTTTATACCTAAGTTAGATTGTTGAATAAAATAATTGGGCAAATGCAACGGAGCAGAAATATAATTGCATGAATGCGCAATGGATCAGCCACTTGGCCGTTAAAACTCCCAAACAAAATTCGGTGAATATTTGAAAAGAAAATTCTTTAAAAATTGATCGTGCCTCTTAAAGCCTATCTATCGCTTAAAAAACCCTCCCTTGTAATGTAAAAAGATGATCTTTGGATTCTGATCTTGCGAAGAGCTTGAAATATGCGCTAAAATGAAAATTATAAATTTTGTTACAGACGGTACTAGCTCAAGTTCGCTCTTCGATTTGCCAGACCAATAGGGAGCCGCCCGTGTACTGCACATTTACAATTTTCTCTGTAGTATTTCGCTGTATACAGCTACAAATTACATATTTTCTTAGGCAAAGATAACGCAAACGTTGTCAATTTTTATCAAAAGGCTAGAAAAACAAACCGTGCACTGCAGCTTTATGCAAATTATATGGTATTCGATAATTACACGTGTAAACAGGAACCTACCTTTGCTAATGTACACTGTTTGGCAGATCTTTCCAGCGTAAGATATAAAACTAGTACATGAAATGAAATTAAAGAACTCATCAAGTCAAATTACCTGATCGTACCGTCATTACTGAATAATAAGTCCGAAAAATATGACATGGAATGATCGGTGGGAGACGAAGCTATTTTTAGGAGGACCAGGAACTGCACGCTGGAACGGAACTGAAATGAACAACCTCAATGAAGTTCAGTCTTCTTGACGCTATTAAAGATCATTAAACGTTTCACCCGAATTTGAACAGGAAGTTGTTTTCTATTTTCCTTCTCATTCTTGCATGTATTCTGCAGTTCGCCCAGTATTTTTTCGTAACTTTTTATTTTCTAGCAAACTGGAACTGTTAAGAACTACCAACCCTCCTCCCTCCCCCTCTTTGAGTGAACTTTCATTCGGTCTAATTCACAATAATTTTCGAACGGTGACAAAGTGAAATTTGAAATGACATTTTATTTTAGCATTTTAAAAGCTCCTTCTTTTTTTTCCGATAGCCAGGAATGTTTTGAACATAAAAGCTCAAGTGTCGGTGTTTTTCACGACTCTGCTTGTGGACTGACCTCACCACCAGTATTACATCACGGACATAGGGTCATACAGTAACTGATGGGTCTCTGAAAAGCGAAACGCAGTCACTTTGGGGCGAGTAGGCGATAGCTATGTAGATGATGAACTCATTGTTTATAACTCCATAACAGTATCCCAAAAGTCGAGCCAGCCCGGAGGCAGCGAACACAATTTTGGGGCCACTGGCCACACCCTTATGTTTGGCGGGAAATTGGCTAATTAGTCAAATCTCCTTAACTCCACGACCATGCACCTTTCCAAATATTTCCCTTCTAATTATCATATAGTTAGGGCTTCCCATAAGCATTTGCAACTATTTTGACTTGTAGAATTTTCATTACTTTAATGTCTCGTAAACAACACGAGGTACATGTACTGATCTCTCCCCCCTCCCCCCACCGCCACTTCCCCCATCCATAACAAAAAATTTTCAGACCAACACTGAATTGCATGAAGGTATGTACAAAAATATGACCATATCGAGGCAAGGTTAATCACTCTAACTTACCACATAAAAGCCACTGATTCCGTTCTGCATGAATACTAAGGTCCCATAAACAACGCCACGTTTAGAAAGAGCCCGCCCTTTTCAATCCAAGAAAACCGAAGTAGCAATTTCACCAACGGACATAAGCTGTAAGAAAAGGACCGCGTCAAATACTTCATAAAATCGCAAACGCCTCATGACACTTTTAATTCACTCTTTCTTCGATAAACTAATTTTTAATTTTTTAAGCATAAAAGACATCAGCATGCGCGACTATGAGCATTATAGCTTATGAAAAGAAAATTTAACCAGTGCACATGAAAGCGTCTGAGACGGGGACTAGGGGGAATTAGGAACATCGTGCTTACCGCTGGAAAAATATTGGCTGGTTCTTTGAATAGGCTCAATTAAAACCGTTTTTGTTCAGTAAGGAGCTGTTAGATGGGGGGAAAGCCACATAAAGTAGATCGCATCAGAATACGGCACAGGACTAGGCTCTCAAAATCGATAAGCTTGCAAGACCAATTATTATATAAAACAGAGAAAAATTCCTTGAGGGAAAAAATTATGGCTAGGGAAAAGACCCGAAGGTGGAAAGTTAAGATCGTAGCTTCTTTTCAGGTAATCGATCATTTACGTTAACTTCCGCTATCCGACTACCCTGCATATCGGAAAGACTGAAAACACTCAATGGATGAGAGTATAACACATTCAAGAAGAAACAAATTTGTGATTATTCACAACTCAATAAAATAACTAAAAATGTGTACTACTCGGTTATACAAGATTTTTGTTTTCAATTTCAGATTTTTACGATAGGGCATTAGCCCCCGTACTCACTAGACACTACTTCACAATCATCGTGTTAAAATCAGTGAAATACTCCATTTGCATGGCGTACATTTTGAAGAACATTTGAAAACAATTTGGTTTCCTACCCTTATACCGTTATTAAAAACTAAAATTGGGAAGTTTGTTGTTTTCTAAAAGTAGTTTGAACAGCCAAACGACATTTTTTACACGGAGTGGGGAAAGTAAAGCTTCACTTTTCTCTTCTAAGGTAGAAAGTGTCAGCAAAACGTGAGAGTCGTCCTTGAGGGTAAAGTGTCTAACCTACCGGTAATTTTCTCACCGATTGCAAGTGCCATTTCATCCACACATAACCTCACCTTGTTAACAGAAGTAGCAAATGTAACGGGGAAACGTTGCGAGAGAACTGAGTAAGATGTTAAGGTAAGTTTTGAAAATTGTGCGCACACCTGGAAAATCCTGGCTACGCTCCTGATGGAGACTTTTGCAGGAGAGAAATTGAAACGTGCTCGCTAATATAGTGACGACCAGAAAGGACAAGCCATAGGATAGTTCCAGAAAACCACCCATTAAAATAGATCATGAAGTTGTCGCGGCGGAGGATGAGCTCGAAGGCTTCTGATGAAGTGCAATTTTTCAAGGGAGCCCAGACAAGATTATGTACGATGGGCACATGTACAGCTTGTTTGATCTGGAAAATTTAGAGAAGCTCACGGCAAATCGCTAGACAACACATGCTAGAGCTGAACTAAATATCTTTTCCCCTTTTTAACTCTGTCCCTAAGGGTAAAGGAGAAAGTTTCCCTTTATCAATGCATTAACCAAGTTGATTATGAATGTCTCCTTATGTTGAACGTCTTACTAACAAGCACATTACCACTACTTGTCCTCAGAGGCTTTTTTGAGTTGAAGAGCAGGGAAAATTAGGTTTTGAGGGTTTGAAATTCAGGATGCCAGAGTGAAGACGCCTTTTGTATGATGACGTCATCGTCCTACAGTAAAAAGCGTTTACGTCAATCGGTACACTTATGTTGTCGAAAGGTCCGTGAGCATGGTAAATGATTTTACATTAAACTGCACACACATCTTCAATCACTCCTTACTGTTCGCGATATTGGACACTCTGGTCGCTAATTGAATTTTATTTGCTGTTTACTTTATTTTGAATTAGGAATGTCTTGAGTTGTCCGTGCATTGTCTGGCGATTTTAAGCTTTTTCAAGGAAACGAACATCTGGAATTGTCCCTAGGGTGAGACATTTGCGCATAGTTTTAAAGCCCTTCGGTGGGGTGACTGTGGTTTTTGTTGTCCTGGGCTCATCCCTCATTCTCCTTAACCCCTTCCAAACCAAGTTTCTGTTTATCAAGAATCTGGTCAAAACGGGCTTCGTGATTGAGACAAAATACGTGAAAATTGTGCACGGAGCCGTTGTTAATGGTGTACAAGGTAGAATGAGTCTATTCATTACTTTACCAACGCCCAATTTTTAAAACCGGAAATAATGATGTTTATTTCAAGGGCTCATGTCTCATGAGTTTTGAGTGAATCTTCAAACGCTGTAAATACATGTAGCTGGAACTACCATCGCATCCTCGCTCACTAATAATGATAACTTATATCGACTTCCATTATTTATTGCCTGGCTAAGATTTTCAAGGATTCTTCAGTTCAGTTGTTCGAAACCAGGCGGTTTCACGTGAGTTGTAACAGCATGCAAGGAACGTGACGACCCGCGATATGCGTGGGAAAATATTACACAATGATATTACCTTTTTTCGATCAAGGTGAAAACTGGCATCTTCATCGTCGAGTAAGGTAATACATCTCAATTAGTATTACTATGGTTAATTTTAAAAGCTCTGGTTTCGATAAAGGAACTGGAGGAAAATCAGGAAAATTCCAGTTCGACTGTGATGGTTGAATTTTGTTTACGCGTCAGAGCATAAACATAACAACTTCATTTTCCTTTTCCTTATACAATCTGCCTTTTTATACTGTTTTTCGCAGCAGAGTTATCGATTATATTACAGAGGCTAATTTTATTACACAGATCACTCAGATTTAATGACAGAAACTCTATTATCGATTGTAATTTTGGCAACACTTGGCGAGTATTCGGTGTAAAGATTATTGACAAAGTCGCTAGAACAGTCTTCCATTCATTACTTTTGTTTCTGCTCCGTTAAATTTGCCCAATTTTTTTATTAACGAACTCGATTTAACTACAAACAATGAGTATTCAGGCAGAGTGGCAAGCTTCAATGCGATGTGGCAAAAGAGATATATGCCTTTAAAATTTTGTTAATTTTGCGGGTGTAAAAAATTCAAAAAGTATACCCACCAAAAGTTTAATCGATCGTTGGAAAAACGTTATCAATTTCGAAGTAGTTTCTAAAAATACAATAAAGAGGGATAGTTCTTTCAATGTGTATCGGCAAAGGAAGATTAGCTTTGAAGACAGGGTTGTAGTTGAAGGCTCAAAAGCAGCTTCTATTAACCAATATGGCGCCGGTCCGAGGCACCCTTAAACCGGCCATGTCGATAATTTCCGAAATAGGAAGAATTAGAACCTAAAGTTACCTATTCCTTATTAAAGACCTCAAATCAAGTCTACTTGCCAATTTTCAGCCAATTCGGTGAGATAGTGTGGCAGCGACTTTTCAATATAGCTCGAATCTTACAGACAACTGCTCTTAACTAGAAAGTCCTTGCTGCTCAGTCTTCCAGTCCCGAAAACAAATTTAATCATTACTTTTTCTCTCCTCTACTTCCCTTCTTTTCTCAGGGGCGTAGCCAGCGCACAGCCCTGTAGGCCCCGGCCTTCAAATTTTTGATTTGATCATTCTACGGCTTGTAACAAATTATGCGTTGTTGGAGTCAGCTGAAAAAGCACAAGAGCTCAAATTGTTGGTGAGGTCAGTGCGTACTGGTCATGCGTACAATTTTCATGATATGTGGAAATGAAAGTCAGCCAGGCCTACAACTAGCCAAAAAGCTGGCAACGTCCCTGAAAGTCAGGCTTGCACTATTCAAATTAAATAACTGATAGCTTAGCCTTATTCAGGTCATACGGCTGTATTCATTGGACTCCTTTTCGAAAATACGAACAGACCTGATTTTTCAATAGGTACCTTCACGACGGCTCCACGTGATTTTTAGGCTTCTCGGGCTATTAAAAAAAACCTCGTTTTTAACCTTTTTTTAAAATCAAACGGTTCAATTTTATGTGTGCTATGTTTCACGAAAAATTCAGCAAGATAGTAGTTAGCCCTACTGATGGTCTGTTATAATTAACGCAGCAATTTGAATGCTTGAAAAATCTGCCGTCTCATGACCGGATAGCATAATACTTGCAGACACAGAAAAACTAGTAGTAAAGTACTTTTTCTTCAGTCGAAAAAGTTCTTACCATCCCTTTAGCAATCTGCCACGCATAACATAGAACTTCTTTCCCAGAAATGTCTTCTTCATCATCTTCCTTGCCCTCACAGCTGCCTTCTTCTTTCTCGATGGTAATCTTTTCTTCGACGTTTCTTAAAGGCTCAGCGGGAGTAAGCTCTTTTTCTTTGGAGAAATGGGCAATACTGATCGAAGGTAACACCATCACCGACGTAACCGACTCCTTTCGCCCTTCATTTTGTTGAAATGACGTGTTGACATCGTCACTTTCTTCTTCCTCCTTGTCATCTTCGTAACCCGGGCTTAAGCAAGAAGGTTCCATCTCAGGTCGAGGAGCATCGTTGATTGAAATTTCTCTTTCAACGTCGTCCAGGTCGATTTTAATTTCCTTCGCCCCGTTGGAATGATAACCACCGTCTTTTCCACTTTCTTCATTCTTTTTTCCCCTGTTCTCCTCTTTCAGGTTTTCATCCGGGACATCTTTTGTTTGCAGGTTCCTGGACACCAATTTCGGCCTCTCAGGAACAGGAGGCTTAAGCCTTTCAACGACATCACTTTGGCGACTCGTTATCATTGTAAGCTGCAAAAAAATATTGAAATGAATTCCGTCTGATCACGAAACGGTTTTGTCAGCAGAAACAATTTCAACACTATCAGTTGGTTAGCCGAAATATTTTTACCCATTTAAAAGGAATCCATGTGAATTGAAAGATTACTTAACCGACGTTAAACTAAAAATCCAGCCGGGAATACCTTATGGGCCAACTTTCTTTAAATCGTCCACGGAAAATTCAAATGGATTAAACTGCAATAGAAACAAAGCTTTTCTTCTGCTTTGTTACAATTTTCTATGACATTTTAAGATACACAGTCCCAAAAACGAGACGTGTGCTTCTTGATATTAGGTTTGACCTAATGCCACTTGTGACGTCATATCTCGTACAGGGCTTACGGGAAGGACAATCATTATCTCCACCAAAATATTTTGATGGTTTTTTTTAAAGACACTTTTCTACTACGTCGGTCGGAGGGTAAAAAGAAAAACTCTGATGTTATCAACTGATTTGAATAACTCATCTTGCCACCAATGAAAGACCGTGGATCGAAAAGCTGACGGGCATTTTGAGTGGAAGCCCTTTGTCAGCTCGAATCAAGAACGGTTTATCAAATGTCGGAGCTCAACTACGGTGAATACATGGGAAAATGTTAAAAAAATAAGTAAATTACCAGAATGAAACGCGTTCGTTGAAGTAAACTATTCTTGTCTTGTTACCATGCTCAAACAATAGCGTAGCTCCACTATTAGTAATCCCGTGATTCATTCTGACCAGAAAAGGTTAACGCCCACGTGTGTGGGGGTACTCTAAAAAATTTCGAATAGTTGAGACAAGCGAAAATCAATATCCTATTCAAGACCCAAACGTGGAAAATGAGGCCCAGTTTAAGAAAAACAAAACCTAAGAATTAATGGAATCAGAAAAAACTTCCTTAAATCGCGCTCCTAATCAGCTCAAGGGTAAAGTTCAGTTCTAACAGATCTATGATTTGTTTCTCGTGTGTTGGGCATTAACGCATGTGAATTTTACCTGATAGAATAACGGTACCCTATCGGCAACACTGCGCCAATAAGGGCAACAAGGATACCATATTTAAGGATGGAGATCCTCATCCTATCGGGTGGGATAACCCCCTGGGGGAGACGCTCAAAACTTCAAGTTTTTTTTCTTTTCTCACAACCTACCCCTCCCCAAAGACAACATCAACACTACCTTCTCACTTAGGCAAAATGTGGCTTAGTTTCCCGGAAACCTTAACTGATCCTACCGGGGCAAGCTTAACTTTACTGACTCTATGAACACATATTTTTGTGTATTTACCGATCTTTGTTTAACGAATACATGAATAGCATCTAAACACTCTGGCTGTATAAACCGCGTTTGGGAAAATACAAATGTCCGGTTGCATTTATACCTACATTTTTAAGTGAACCTCTGTCTTTGAGAACTTAAATTATAGGTAACATGTACAAATTCTCATATCAAGTTGGTTAGCATCTTATTATTTTTAACGAAGACGATGGTTCTTAGACGTGTGATGAGATAGAGGATTTTCCTTCTGCCTTAAAGCTCCTTAAGAGACCACACAATGTAAGAAAAAAACACACGCAGCAGGATCATTAGAAAATTAAAGTGCAGCACAGAATACTAATGACGTCAGAGTGACTACTTTACAATGTTTTTCTGAAATCTGCCATTTTTGTTTTTTTTTTTATGACAAAAGTCAGAGAAACTTGACATTTTAATGGCAAAAAAACAAACAGAAATAAGGAATTTGTTTGTCTGAGTTTGAGTTCTATAAATAATACCTGTACGCAGCACTATTTCGAATGGAGAGCAGGTATTTTTTCAACCAAGGGCAAAAAAGCTGATAAAGTAATGATACCTGTTGCCTTTTGTTTCTGAGCCACTGAAGAAGATCTCCGTTTGGAACATATTCCATGATTAACATGATGGGATGTGATTGGATCCAGTACCCGAGCATGCTCACAATATTACGGTGTGTTCCGACTTCCTTCATCAGCTCAATTTCCCGAACTAACTGCCGTTTTTCCTCCTCCGTGGCATTTTCTGAAGAAAAAGAAAGACATTGAAAAAAATCCAGTAACCGTGACCTACGTAAATGCTACACGATATCAGTTAGTACTAAACAACTAAACCCAGATGTAAAGATAAAAAGAACTAATTAAAATGAAAGTACACTTAACCTATGAAAATAAAACACAGTCAATGGCTCAGGTCCTAATTTCTGCTTGAGAAAAAATCTATTTGTTAAATAATTGGTTCCCTAAGTTAAGTGACGTAGATAAAACAAAGTCTCAAAGAAAAACCGTTAGTTCTCTTTATCTAGCGATCACCAAGCACGACATGTAACATGATGTAATGCTGGATGATCTTTTAGTCCGGAAACTTGTTTCTTTAATTCTAGACGCCACGTTTTGTGTTCTTTAATTGCTTCCCTATTCTCGACCCAGGGGCTCTTCATCTCCAATAATATGACTTTCCTTGAGTTCCTTGAGTGTACATTAATTTTGTAATCCTAACGTATCTATCCAATTGGCTCACTTCCACTGACTCTGCATAGACAGGGACATCCTAGTATGCTTTTGTAGATGGGTTTCATGAAGGGTTTTCGGCTCACTGTCATCATCATCATTATCATCATCAAGCTCCAAGGCGCTTTACAATAAATGTTTTCAACTTAGACGACTAGAAAGCAGTAACTCGTAACATTAAAAAATAAAAAAAAATTGTTAAACAAAACCACGAAATAAAAATAACGCTTAGAGGTTTTTATAGCTTTTACTAAGATTGCTCTCAGAGGAACGAATATTCAAACTCCATTTTATACTGTATGTGCTCTGTAGAATCATTCCAAAGTTTAGGGGCTCAAAACGAAAAAGCATGATCGTCCGCTAAAAGTTTTAGCCTCGATCTGGGTGTCACTAATTAACAAGTTCATGGTTGATGATCGTGAACTCCTAACAGACATGTTAGGAGTTTGAAACAAATGATGATTATAGCTCAGACATAAATAATTTAAAATCCGCTACTCATGCTCCAAGGGAAGCCAATGTAGTTCTCTAAGTAAAGCTGTAGTAATGTGGTCATATTTACAACCACATACGATCAGATAAAGTTCTCAAGTGACTGAAACATGTGAATAACATATTTCGAAAAATCACTTAAGAGAACGACCGATCTACACGTTACGAAGGCATGCACTGACATCTTGAATTGGTTTAAAGAGATAATATGTTGTCATGTCACACCTCTGAGAAGTGATCATGCAGCCTGCTCTGTTTTGCATTTTTTATATCTGCGTGGTTTTGTTAAAAGGTGCCCGCTCCGTTTTCGAACCTGTCTAAGACCACTTGTAACACGACTAACCTTGGAGCACACCTTATCAATGTTCTGATCTCACTGAAGGTTTTTATGTCTACATTAATTTATTCATTGCAAAACGTGTGGTAAATTTCAAACATTCAGGGAGGTTATTAATATAAGTAGAAAACAAAATTTAAGGATCTAAAATGGGCCCCTGAGGTACATCACACTGTTACCGACTGGGGCATTGAGATGCTGTTTTCTACGATATAATGTTTGCTATCTATTGGATTAAATAATTCAAACCCGCTGTTACAAGAGAGGCTCCCTTGCCTGTTATTAATAAGAATCACTCCCTTGAATATCGTTTGCTGAAAGAGTAAGTCATCTTTTTGCCACATTCTGAATTCACGCACCTGGTAGAACTTTTGTAGCAACAATACGTCCCTCATGCGAATCCAAAGCGTGATCCTTGGGTTTGGAGGATGTTTTCTTTTCAGGTAACCCCCTCATTACGCTCCTATAAACTCTTCCAAAAGCGCCTCGTCCCAGTTCCTCCATGATAGTAACCCGTTCGTGTGAGACTTCCAGCAACATAAACTCAGCAATGTCAGACTCACTGGACCTAAAGACAATAGTGCAAATTAAATGATAATAAAATTCGGCGTCATTAATCATGGGCTTGTGGTAATGCTAAAATCAGAGATGGCTTCCTAGTTCATACAAGGTGATAAAAGTTACATCGCCTTGGTGTGTAAGGAAGGTCACTCACCAGCGCGAATTGACTGAGTGAGACGGACACTTCAAGACAGACACTTACACAGGAAAAATATCGTCTATTTCCGCATGCATATCATTATCATAATACATCTTAATCATTCCTATAGAAATATGAAATACCGTTCATTCCTCTTTGCTCTCTTACGGTACACAATTATTCCCACCACCAAAGCAGAAAGAGCCACGGAAACTCCCAACACTATCCAGAGTATGGGAACACCTGTGAGAGAGCAAAATTGTAAGAGCCTCCCTGGTCACTGAGGGATACAAAGAATCATCAATGTAAAGAACTGTTGATGTAAAAACATGGTGGGAATAAGTTTCCTAGTAAACTTATAAACGGACTAAGTTTCCTAGGAACTACTTCTCGTTTACGACTCGTTACATTTTACAGGCCTCCATATTCTGCTAAACATCCTGTGACCACATTCACATTTTTCAGTGAGCCCTTTACTGATTTTACCTCGAGTCTCTGGTCATGTCAAGAGAGCCCTTGATAATTTTGGGCGATTTTAACATCCGTATGGTCGACCTACCGGTCGGATATAATGGAGTCGATGGGTCTCACTCGGCATGTTTGTCTACTACGCATGAACTTGGTCATACACTTGACTTGATTATCACTCGTACATCTGATAACATTCATTGCTGTGAGTTATTCTCCGACCATTTTCTAGTCTTCTGTCAAATAAGATCTGATAGACCTCAAGCTAATGTCACGCATGTGCAGTTCAGGAAAATGAAATCAATTAACCCCATCCAATTTTCTGAGGCCATTCCTTCTTCTCAGCTTAATCATGATCCACCTAACGCCTTAGACTCTCTAGTCAGCTGTTATAATGAGTCGTTACGATCTCAACTGGATATGTATGCACCTGTCTTAACTCGTGACATTAATGTCAGGCCTCTTGCTGCGTGGTTCAATGAAGATATTAGGAATGCCAGACGCTTGAGACGAAATGCTGAAAAGACGTGGAGAGCTACAAGACAACCTGTTGATCTTGTCGCTTTTAAGAAGGAAAGAAATCGTGTGGTGAATTTGGTGAATGAGGCACGCCGTGTTTACTATAATCAGTTTATCGAAGATAACAGCACAGACCAGAGGAGGCTTTTCGCGGCAAGTAAGAGTTTATTGAATATGAAGAAAGATCGATCTCTTCCACACATTCTTTTTCACTTCTTGCAAACAATATGGGTCAGTTTTTTTATTGCCAGGATTACCAGTATCAGGTCAAAGCTGAACGGCATTCTTGCAGTCAACGCCCGAGCCCAACCTGGAATCTGAATCTGGTGATATTGTATTTTCCCACTTCCAGTGCCAAGCCTGACTGAGATAGTTCGTCATATGATTACACCTGGAAAGAACAAATCTTGCATCTTCATGTTAAGACTCACTCCTTCCCGCCATCACTAATATGGTCAACCTCTCCTTGCAGACTGGACATTTTGATGAAACCTGGAACCCATCATTAAAAAAGCCCGGCCTCGATCTACTGTTCAAGAGTTTCCGTCTAATAAGCAACTTGCAGTTTGTGTCTAAATTGACAGAGCGTGTGTTGGCCTCTCAGATCTCAGATCCTCCTTGCAGACTGGGTATTTTGCTGAAACCTGGAAAACTGCTGTGGTATACCCATCATTAAAAAAGCCCTGCCTCGATCTACTGTTCAAGAATTTTCGTCTAATAAGCAACTTGCAGTTTGTGACATGATTACAAATAATCTATTCCCTCAATTGCAATCTGCTTATCGCTCCTATCACAGTCCGGAGACTGCATTGTTCAAGGTAACGAATGATCTACTAATGAATGTGGACAAGGACAATATATCTCTCTTACTACTGCTGGATTTAAGTGCCGCCTTCGACACCGTTGAGCATGGGATTCAAATGATACTAGGTGTCTGTGGTACTGCTCTTTCCTGGTTCAAATCGTACTTGGAAGGGAGATCTTAAAGAATCTGCATAAAGGAGACGCTCTCGCAGCCGTTTGACTTAAAATGGGGTGTCCCTCAAGGTTCTTGTGTCCGACCGCTTTTGTTTACTATTTATACACAAGATTTGTTCTCTAAATGGTAGTGCTCGCTTAATTTACTGCGCCCGAAAGCGTGCCCTATCACGCCTCTGCTTCGCGAGCTACATTGGTTACCTGTTTGCTACTGTTTTGAATACAAAATATTACCGTGACCGGCAAAATTTTTGCATGGCAAAGGCGTGGCTGCATGGATGCGTGGTTACTCAGCTGGAAAAAGAGAGGAAAATAGGTAACTAATAGCATTTACTAGTAAGTTCTAGTAACTACCAGTAACTACTAGTAACTACAAGTAAATTCTAGTAAATACCTTTAACTACTAATAACTACCAGTAACTACTAGTAACTACGTACAACTAACTACCAGTAACTACTAGCAACTACCTTTAACTACTCGTAACTACCAGTAACTACTAGTAACTGCAAGTAACTACTAGTAACTACTAGCAACTACCAATAACTACTAGCAACTACCAGTAACTAGAAGTAACTACTACTAATATAACTACTAGCAACTACCAGTAACTATTAGTAACTATTAATAACTACTAGTAACTACAGGTAACTACTAGTTACTACTACTGACTATCAGTGAGAAGACACAATACTACATATTACACAGAGTGTATATTACTGGTCCAGTTGTGGCTTAATTTCCACCATGAAGTATATACCAAAACAGGAACCAGCGAACGTGGATTTACGAGTCATGTTATTACTCACTTTGCTTGGAAATATTACAGCTCGACAGTTCCGTGTGAACAGCGCAAAAATATAGAACGGTTCCGGTTGAAAATTCGACCGGTACCGTGTTAACGTAACCTTAAAGGGCAAGCAAACATTGCCAGCTGACCGCTTTTGCAATTGATTGTGATTTTCTTATAGTAACCTTTCTTAAAAGCTTTTTGACCTCTTTCACTGAAAGTGGTTTGGAAATAAGAAAATGTTAAATACTGTAGAACAATTTTGATATGTTCAAATTCATACTTGAGGCACAACAATGAATAATACATTTATTTTATTTTATTCCCCCAAAGTTTGACTTTTGATATATTGAAACTGGTCTCTTTTTGCCAGCTTCACCGTCAATTTGCCAAATGTAGAAATGCAGGCCAATTAAGATGGCCATGAACATACAGCGTCGTGACAGGCTATTTATTACAGAAGAACAGTCCCTTAATGTTTGAAAGTTACAGAATGATAAACTTCCAATAAGCGGAGGCTATAATCTGTACATTTTTATTGTTGTTGAACATCAAAGGGCTTTGCTGCGGTAAATTTCCGTCTTGATCTGTTTTGCTGCCCACTTTGCTTATGAGGGAGCTGAAAGGGGGCGTCTACTTTCCTAGAGGTCTACCCCTAGCAGAAAGGGTCCACAAGTTTGGCGGAATGCGGGATTTGGCTGTTTTTGGTGGTGATACTCGAGATGCGAGCTAAAAAAGGAGCTGGAAGCGGGAATTTTGATAATGAGAGGGAGCGGGGTTTCCTATTTTCATTGGGTTGGGATGCGGGAATCGTAAGGGAAAAGTAGCGGGATACGGGAATTAAATTTTGTTGTGACCACATTTTGACTTCTTTGTGTACACCGCCCATGTACTAGGAACTACTTGTCGCCAAGGAAATTAAGCCTGTCAGTTTTATCCATTATCACCTTTGAGTGTTTTCGTCTTGTTTCGTTACTTGGTAACTGACGGTGTGCGCGAACGGTCAATGGAAAGGTCTGGAGTGAGGCCAAAAAACGAATTAGACTAGGGAGAGACGCCAAAAATACGCGGTTAATTTTACACAGTCTTCGCCTGTACTTCGCACCTTTTAAAACCGATTGTGAGAAAAGAGGACTGTTTTGCAAACTATTGCAGGTCACACGCACCTATTTTTGAGCGGATTTAAGAATGGAAGAAAGTACAGAGATTTTAAACACGAATGAGTACAAGTAGCAATATATAAAAAAGAGGAAGAAATCGAGGACCAAGGGCAAGAAGGGTGGAAAAGTAAGCTTTCTGCATGGGGTTGTCTAGGTTTGGGTTTCCACAAATGCGAACATTCTATCAATTTGTCCAACCAGTGTGTTCATACACACTTTCCATGAGCCGTTGTCAGCGAAGACAACTGGGTTCATCAACTTATGCAACCTAGCAGTAAATCAATCGAAACATCCATCAATCCAACTCAACTGGCTGTTTCCAAATGGCCAGAACTCAGATCGAAGTAAGCCTTCTTTTTTGTTCTGATGTGCTCCCCCAAAATAACAATAAGCAAAACAGAAAATGAAGTTACAGTCGTTAATGGTTTAGCCTTGGACCAGGCTCCGCCTTGGGGAAAAAGGGAGAAAAAATTGATCCCGTTTTTTGCCTTTTTTCACCACTACGGAGCCTGATCCCAGGCTATTAATGGTTATGTCAAGAGCCTTTAAGGCTCTTGATTTAAAAACATCAAAACTGCCTATTGCAAGAAAGCAAGTCTTAAACATTGTATAACGTTTTAATATTTCAATAATGAAAGCAGGAAACTCGTAAAAAAAATTAGGGCGGGATCTAGTCTGCTACACAGCAGTTTTTAGTGTCGTCATACAACGCTCCTCCCCACAAACCTTGTGGCTGTGTAGCAGACTAAGCGGGATCGGGATTCGAACGTAAAAACAGGCGGGATAGCGGAATTAAGAAGAAAAAACTAGCGGAAAGGCGGGATTTGAGAACTCAGCTATTGTGGACCCAAAGCAGAGGTTGAACTGGATATGGTTTGGTGCCAATACCAAAACCTATCAGCTATTATTAAACATACATAAGGTAATGTCGCACCTGTAGAGCGGGTTTTAAATTTCCAAGAATCTGACCAGTCGCTTTGAACTTTTCCAAACCAGGAAGACACACCAATTTCATAACCCTTGTCGCATTCCAGAGACAAAAGATGAAAGGTGGTTGAAGGAACCCTATATTCTGTCCATTCAGCTTCAATGCCTGGTGGCTTTATCTCCCTAAAGCGTACACTGCTCTTTGTTATAGTGCATATTTCTTTTCTACTCCACGTTACATTGACTTTGCAACCATGTATTTCCAACTCTTCGTTGTTTATCACGGGTGTAATTGGTTTGCCTTTAAATCATTACAGAAACGCGCCCATTGAAAAACGTCGCCCGTGAAAAGTGGGGTACCCATTAGGCTTTGCGAGCAAAAACGAAGTTTCAAAGACTACCGTCGTTTTCGGTCTCTTATGAACTTCATAGCGGTTAACTATTCTCACACTTTCAAGAGACAATGCAGAAACAATAGAAGTAGGTTGCCATTGTTTCATGTGTTGGGATGTCTTTGTCATTGCTACAAAGAAGAAAATGTTTATGCAAAGAGAAGCATTTTTCTTCCTCGTGCACTAACATAAAACCCTCGCGAATTCGGTAGTCTCGTGCGAATCGTTTTGATGGCAAAACAGTTAAAGCTAATCAGAAACCAAAGTATTCTTCACTTAAAAACTCATCTTCTCGAAAATCACTCGATAAGATTGAATAAAAATGTTTGTAGCGTTTATGAATATTATTATCAGAAGCGGTATTGTAGTTGTTTTCAAGAGACGGATTAGATCGCTGTTTCGGTTTGGCCGTTAAAAATGTAGTTATAGCGTTCTTAAAGAAAGTATCGCTCTTACTTTGGCCTCATAGTTTGCTAAAATCAATATCTTAAATGAAGAATGTAAGTGAGAGTGCTTTCTCGTCGAATTTGCCCGTAAATTTTAAGGCTTATAATATTATCCAAAACCCGTGACAAAATGTAAACAAACTATTAACGCATCGGTTGCGCTCATATTTCATCGATCGATTCGAACACCAAGAGGTTTGTAAAAGGTAGAAATTCATTTTAAGTCAGTGCATTGAATTATTTACGGCAAAATCAACAACAAGCATCGAGGATTTTTCAATTTCGAAGCGTTTAACAGCAAAAAGTCACATGCTAGTTCGGAGTAAATTTAGACAGTTTTTAAACAGACTGAGCTATTGTTAGTCGCGTGAAGTTCTATTCTTCATCAAAGAATAGGCAAATGTTGCGGATGTCTGAGCAGGAACAATAACCAGGAAAGGGATATACCCAGGGGATTTCTTGATTGACACTAAATTAACGTCATTTTTCACTTATTTGCATTTTCACGATCGACGTTTTTGAATGGGCGCGTTTCTGTAATGTAATGAGAATAATACTGCGATTACTTAGTGATTTCCACTGATGTATTTGCAGTGATAAATGAATGTTGAAAGGTACACCACTAAACCTACAAAACTGTCTAACAACTGCAAAAACTGAAATTTGAATTAACGACCAGCACGCTGACGCCATCTTGAGTAATCGACCTAATTATGCGCATGCGTTGAGTCCTGTTAAAAGAGTTCTTGATTATCTTGATTAATTCCTGCGGGAACTAAGTCCCATGAATGTGACGATAAGCAGACAAAAAATTGATTTCGTGACGTAAATTTGCCTGTAATTCTGCTCTCGAGCCAAAATAAGTGGTAATATGATCAATGTTGAGCTGTAAAACTAGCCAAAAGTGCAAATTATTACAATAATTTTTGGAAAATTGATGAAAATTATGACTAATTATGACAAAACATTAGTCTAGCACAATTTTTAAAAGCTTAAAACCTAGAGTGTAAAAAGAACATTCAATTTTTTAAGATCCAAGTGACCTCAATTAAGGATCGAAGAATACGATTTACCCTCGAAAAGATACTACTCTCACCTTTACTCAGGTCAGAGACCTGCTTTGCAGATAAAGCCATTCCAGCCACATAAAGATCCATGACTGCTCCAACAAACACCCCATTTGTCATTGGCATCTGGACTAAGCCTGGATAATTCCCTATGATGTACTCTGACTGATAACGGCCTAACGATGAGAAGAAATACTCATTCCATTGGTCAATCAACGCCCTCTCCGTACCATTAACTAACACCTTGATCTTATGCAGCTGACAAGTTACTGCTATGTGATTCCAGTAACTGATTTGTAAGTGGAAAGTGTTGTCTATCGATAAAAGAAGACGGGATTTCTTGACTGTAACGTAAAATAGTTTTCCACCCTTTGACCAAAGTGCCAGTATAGGCCCGTCAACACTATTACACTTTACCCAAAATGCAATTGTAAAGTCACAGGTTTTTATGTTAATGTTGGGCACAGTAGCATAGGAACCATTCTGACTGAAACTCGCCGCTTTGCTTCCAGGACACCAGCCTTTAGTATGGTTAACGATACCAAAATACCTGTAAGATCACAAAAAACAATGAATAGAATCTAGCTGTGAATAAAAGAATTACCTGTCAGAGGAACATGCAAGGCACTATTTTACAATGGAATATAATCCTACGTTATGAGACAAAAATTTAACCGGTCAACGCTGAGTATAATGCCACCTGTAGCAGTCAGAAATGCAAATGCATCTGACTGAGTTTAAAGCTGTGCTGGATGTGGTGGATGTCATATGAAATGGTTGATCTGAAATTTTATTTAAGAGTTAGAAAAAAGTAAGAAACAAAGAAGAGGTTCTCGCGCAAAATCGGTTGAAAAAAAAAAAAAAACCGACGTCTGAAAATAGAGGTAAGGTATAAGAATCCAACGCCACTTCCTCGCCCGCCCACTCCCGCCCCCGACATTAATTGAACAAACTAGATATGTATAACCGCTACTAACCTTACATCTGAATCACTACCGTCTAGAAACCAGCGGCCGTATACGGGGTTTCCTAACAAAACAAACACGGGGGCCTGCTTAGGATTCGTTCCATTAAACTTATTTTGGGACACGAATACGTATATCGTGTGTAAGCTTTATCTTTTTCTTATTGTTTTCATTGTTACTTTGAATGAAGAACAAGAAGTCTAAAGACTACTGCAAAGCTGATTTAAAACAACGTATATTGTTTTTCATAACAAACTTTCGGCTGGCCATACCAGCCTTCTTCAGGTTTACAGGTGTTACTGAACTTATGTAGCAATCACAATATTATATAAATGGAGAATGTCGCAATAAAAGGGAGAGGCGGTTACTCCGGAGCTGAATTGACAGGGATGATCGAAGGATTTCGGGTTTTTTTTGGGTAGGAGAATTTTGGCAAGTATTTTTTTGGGTAGCTTAATTTAAGTACGGATTTTTTGTGGTGTTATATCATTTATTGCTTTCTGGATTTTCTTTTTCGGGGGGGTAATGTCGGTCCAGGTTTGTTTTCTTTTTCTTTCTTGGCCCCATTTGATCATCCCTGTCACTTGAAATCCGGATTACTTCCCCTCCGCCCCCCCGAGGGGTGCAACAGCCTTTATTTTTCTCTAGAATGTAACTAAAACAAGGAACGAGCACGAGGAACGGGAAAATAAAAAATGGGAAAAAAACCTAATTTCAACCCTAGCCTTCTCAGTAACTTGGTTTCAAAATCTCTGTGTTGTTCGCACTTTTCATTTTCCCATCCCCCTTTGCTCGTTCCCTGCTCTCCGTTCCCAGTTTAGTAACATCCCAGTGCTTTACCGTCACGTGCGACCAAGGCGTGCAACTGCCAAATTTTACGTTTTATGGAGGACTTGAACACATGACAACGATTTTTTTTATTAATTTCGAAACTGCTGTTTATCAAGGAAAATGGAAAATGATAATGATAATTTTCGTCCTTTAGATATTGCTTTAGAATATCTTCTACAAAAGAAAAATAAAACAAATAAACAAAATAAAACGAAACAAAATGTAACACAATCAACCAAAAAATAATAATATATCTCCTGTCAACAATGTTGAAAAAAAAAATTATCTCCTGTCAACAATGTTGATCATTGCTTTTTCCATCTCGCCATCTTTGCAACATCTTTGAAAACAGAACGATAGATTTTGTAAAGTTTATTACAGAGTAATCCAGAATGTTTTCCTGCTTTAGGACAAGTCCTATCAAACACACCATTACTACTTACGCCTTAGAGAGTGGGGGGAGGAAAGCAATCCTAAGCTGGGAAACAATCAAGTATTTATTACGGTATATAGACGAGTCAAAGTCTAAAACAGTGATTATGTCACATCAGTTTTGTCCTCCTCGCTTAGTTTTGCCAGATGGGGGAAGGGTGAGGGGGTGGAGGGGGCGGGGTTGGTCGTGTGGGGCGGGTTGGGTGTCCAAGTAACCGGGCTGACTTTGATCATTAATAACCTTGAAACGAATAAATAAAATTTACCAACCCAGAAGTTTTTCTGAACTTTAACAGACTGGTCTAATGTATATTATGAATCATTTCCCGTTAAGACTGACTACACTACAACCTCTTTCCCAATGATAAAAAAAAAAAAAAAAAAAAACGTTTCTTAAAAGCTTTTTCACCTCTTTTAGTGAAAGTAGCTTAGATAAAATAAATTGTTAAATTTTTGCTGGCTTCGTCGCTAATTTGCCAACTGCAGGCCCAAAAGTCAAGATGGCCATGGAAAAATGTAAATATACAACGTCGTGACAGACTAATTGGAGGAGAACGATCGTTAAATGTATAAAAATTACAGATTACTTTCCCATATGCGGTGGTTAATCTGTTTATGTTTGTTGTTGTTATTAAAACATCAAAGGATTTCTCGTGATAAATTTCCGTCTTGATTTGTTTTGTTGTCCACGTGGCTTCTTAGGGAGCTTCTGAGGGTATCCGCTTCCGTACAAAGAGGTGATCGCTCCGCTTATGGACCCTGGCAGAGGTTTGCCGCAATAGATATAGTTTAGTATCAATACCAAACTCCTATCAGCTATTGGACATACAGTTTACATGAGGTAACGTCTCACCTGCAAAAGTGGTTGTAAATTTCCGAGAGACTGACCACTCGCTTTGAACTTCTCCAAACCAAGAAGATACTGCAATTTCATATCTCTTGTCGCATTCCAGATATAAGAGATAATAGGCGGTTGAAGAAACATTATATTCTGTCCATTCTGCTTCATCGCCTTGAGGTTTTATCTCCCTGAAGCGTACAGTGGTCTTCGTTATGGTGCATAGTTCTTTTCTACTCCACGTTACATTGACTTTGCAACCATGTATTTCCGACTCTTCCTTGTTTAGCACGGGTGTAATTGGTTTTCCTTTAAATAATGAGAATATTACCACGATTAATTATCCATTTCCACGCATAACGTTAACAAATTAAGTTTGCGTTTTTTAAAAGTTCCAAGCTGCCCTTATATTGTCAAGTAAAGACTGTAAAAGAACAATATACGTATTTTAACATTCAACAGACCTCTATTGAGGATGTGAGACTGCAGTGGAAGAATACGACTTACCCTTGAATATATACTACCCTCACCTTTACTCAGCTCAGAAACCTGCTTCGCAGATAAAGCTATTCCAGTCACATAAAGATCCATGACTGCTCCAACAAACACACCATTCGCCATTGGCATCTGAACTAAACCCGGATCATTCCCTATGATGTACTCTGACTGGTAACGGCCTAACGACGAGAAGAAATACTCATTCCATTGGTCTATCAGTGCCTCCTCCGTACCATTAACGAACACCTTGATCTTATGCAGCTGACAAGTTACTGCTACGTGATTCCAGTAACTGATTTGTAAGTGGAAAGTGTTGTCTATCGATAAAAGAAGACCGGACTTCTTGACTGTAACATAAAATACTTTTCCACCCTGTGTCCAAAGTGCCAGTATAGGCCCGTCAACACCAATATACTTTACCCAAAATGCAATTGTAAAGTCACAGGTTCTTATGTTAATGTTGGGCACAGTGGCATAAGAACCATTCTGACTGAAACTAGCCGCTTTGCTTCCAGGACACCAGCCTTCAGTATGGTTAACAGTACCAAAATACCTGTAAGATCACAAAAAACAATGAATAGAATCTAGCTGTGAATAAAAAGAATTACCTACCATAGGAACATGCAAGCCACTATTTTACCCTCAAATATAATCCTACTTTATGAGACACAAATTTAACCGGTCAACGCTGAGTATAATGATGCCACCTGCAGCAGTCAGAAATGCAAATGCATAACTGAGTTTAAAGCAGTGCTGAAACCTGGATGTCCTATGAAATGGTCGATCTGAAATTTTATTTAAGAGTTAGAAAAAAGTAAGAATCCAAGAAGAGGTTCTCGCGCAAAATCGGTTGGAAAAAAAAACGGACATCCGAAAATAGGGGTAAGGTATAAGAATCCAACGCCACTTCCTTTCCCGCCCACTCCCGCCCCCAACATTAATTGAACAAACTAGATATGTATAACCGCTACTAACCTTACATCTGAATCACTACCGTCTAGAAACCAGCGGCCGTATGCGGGGTTTCCTAACAAAACAAACACGGGGGTCTGCTTAGGATTCGTTCCATTAAACTTATTTTGGGATACGAATACGTATAGTGTGTAACCTTTATCTTTTTCTTATTGTTTTCACTGTTACTTTGAATGCTTCGGGGAGCATAAAACGGAATAATTACAACAACAAGAATAATGACAGACGTTGTCGGTTATTAATAACAAAAAAGGCAAGGAGAGGGACAAAAAAGCAAAAGGTTTGTTTTGGCAGAACAACAACTTTGGACGTGCTGCATCCCGGGGGGAGAGAGTACTCCGGAGCTGGATTGACAGGGATGATCGAAAGATTTCGGGGTTTTTTTGGGTAGGAGAATTTTGGCAAGTATTTTTTTGGGTAGCTGAATTTCAGTACGGATTTTTCTGGGTGTTATATCATTTAATGCTATCTGGAAATGTTTTGGAGAGGGGGTGGGGGTTAAATGTAGGCCCAGTTGCTTTTTTTGGCGGGAAGGAGTGGTTGTTTTAAGCCCAGGGGAGTCTTCGGTTTCCATTTTTGCCCCCATTCGATCACCCCTGTCACTTGAAATCCGGAGTACCCCCCCCCCCCCCCCCACGGGGTGCTGCACCCTTTTTTTACAGTTCTCTAGAATGTAACTAAAACAAGGAACGAGCACGAGGAACGGGAACAAATCCTAACTTCAACCCTAGCCCTCTCAGTAACTTGGTTTCAAAATCTCGGTTTTGTTCGCACTTTTCATTTTCCCATCCCCGTTTGCTCGTTCCCTGCTCTCTGTTCCCCGTTTAGTAACATCCCAGTGCTTTACCGTCACGTGCGTCCAAGGCGTAAAACTGCCAAATTTTACGTGTTATGGAGGACTTAAACACATGACAACAATTTTCTTTTTCTTAATATCGCAACTGCTGTTTATCAAGGAAAAAGGAAAATGATAATGATAATTTTTGTCCTTCAGATATTGCTTTAGAATGTCTTCTACAAAAGAAAAATAGAACAAATAAACAAAATAAAACGAAACAAAACGTAACAAAATTAACCAAAAAATAATAATATATCTCCTGCCAACAATGTTGATCATTGCTTTTTCCATTTCGCCATCTTTGTAACATCTTTGAAAACAGAACGATTGATTTTGTAAAGTTTATTACAGAGTAATCCCGAATGTTTTCCTGCTTTAGGATAAGTCCTATCAAACACACTATTAGTACTTAGGCGCTAGAGGGCGGGGGAGGAGAGCTATACTAAGCTGGGCGACAATCGGGTATTTACGAAATATAGACGGACGAGTCAAAGTCTAAAACAGCGATTGTGTCAGATCAGTTTTGTCCTCCTCGCTTAGTTTTGCCAGTTGGGGGGAGGGTGAGGGGGTGGGAGGAGGGGGGTTGGTTGGGTTGGGGCAGGGTGGGTGTCAAAGTAACCGGGCTGACTTTGATCATTAATAACTTTGAAGCGAATAAACAAACTGAACTTTAACAGGATTAATAGTCTAATGTATATTATGAATCATTTCCTGTTAAGGCTGACTACGCTACAACCTCTTTCCCAATGATAAAAAAAAACCCAAAAAAACGTTTCTTAAAAGCTTCTTCACCTTTTTCAGTGAAAATAGCTTAGAAAAAATAAATTGTTAAATTTTTGCTGGCTTCGTCGCTAATTTGCCAACTGCAGGCCCAAAAGTCAAGATGGCCATGAAAAATGTATAAATACAAGGTCTTGACAGACTAATTGGAGGAGAACGATCGCTAAATGTATAAAAATTACAGATTACTTTCCCAAAGGCGGTGGCTAATCTGTTTATGTTTGTTGTTGTTATTAAAACATCAAAGGATTTCTCGCGATAAATTTCCGTCTTGATTTGTTTTGTTGTCCACGTTGCTTCTAATTTAATTTATAGATTTAGCCAGGGCTAAAAGCGAAGCTCACGTTAATAAATTAAATAATTTAAATGAAACATTGAACATTAATCAGTTAACGTTAAGGTACATTCGTGAGACTTTTGAGGGAAAGTGATTTTAGAGATTGGGAAAAATAATTTGGCAGTGGAAGAGTGAAACAAATTTTACATAGAGCAATCTTATCACATTTTAGCGTTCACCACGTTTTTATCTATTATAACTTGTTTTTAACTTATTTATGCTAATTTAGAGAACTTTTATACACTTGAAAATGACCTCGGAGAGGTCGAAACGTCGTGATTTTTTATCGCTAATATTTATCTCAAAATCGACAAGTTTACTTTACAAAATCTTGCCAACAAGTCTGGGGACGTGTAACCCAACCTTTTATACTTTTTATACATCACATCTGAGGTGAAACAGTACCATGAGGCGCTGTTTTTATCATACAGACCTCGGACAGAATGCAGTATTTCACAATTTTGCAATACAAATTGCACTCACTCAATATTCAGGACGATCGAAGCACGTGTGGGCTTTTAGCGAAACCGTTAAAAAAATTTCGAAAATCACCTATACGACTAGCCGGTTCTCACTTTTGACAAGCGCCAAAGTCGACTGTTTAAATTATGATTAATAGAGTTATACGCTTCAACGTAATAAAGAATTTATTATGTTTATTTTTTATTTAATGGTTTTATAACGACGTTTAATCGTCAAAACCTTTTGATACGCGCGCCTTTTTGACTACTCCCGCATGCAAGCGATGTTCATGAGCGACTGAAAACAAACGGCACAGCGATAAAAATTGCAAAAGAGACTACTAACAATCAATAAAAAGAAAATAATTCGGTGAAACATATACAGAGACAACAACTTTCATTCACGAAGACAGTATTAAACTGTCTCTGAAAATCCTTGTTATGTTTTCCATTTTGTAAGCCGGCTTCCCGGTGTTTGCTTTTTCAAAGATGAACTCGAGGCAAGAAAATCGCTGAAAGCTTTCTTTTACAGCCAGAATTATATCTAAATATTCTTTGGAACGTTTTCTTTCTTTCTATTTGCGGTGAGAAAATGTCTAAAAGCTTTCCAAAGTTCTATAAGCTTATAATCAAACCTGATACTCGGTCAGATCATTGTCTCAAATCTTACAATTAAAAACGTGCATAAACTAAATAGCCGCATAAACTACGCTCGACTTCATTAAATTAGATATAAAAAACAAACGTAAAATACAATAATTACTCAGGCTTACCATTCGAGATGCACTGAAAACTATCAAGTAAGGCCAGATTCGCTTCAGACTTTTCAACCCTCTTACGCATCAAGCAAGGTGAAAAACGCAAACGATGCCATCCGAAATCGGATTTCCGACTTTGACAAGCGACGTATTTCACAAACTAGCCATGAATAACAGAAGATTCTTGATAGCAGCTGAATTTCATTTTGTACATTCAGTGGAAAAAGACAGTCAAAAACATCACAAGTTGACACAAAACTCTGTCAGCTTCAGCAAAGTAAACAAGTTTCAAGATGCTGCATAAATTTTCCACATGAACTCACCTGTCAAATTTTGACCAATCAGAGAATAAAAATTCGACGTAGAGTGTGACCAACGCGTGACCTTGATGAGAAAAGTCAAAAACAACTGGCATGTCTTCCCTGCCTGTAAAAACTGGCTGAATTTTAGCTTCCGAGGTCAGTTTGAAATCAACATTTTAATTGTGCGGCACATACAAAACACAACATATTTCATATGAATTTAAAAAAATAAACTTGAGCCTGCGATCATTTGAAAACTAGTAACTTGTCAGCGGATAACTTCAAAAAGATATTCGACCTCGATGGGTCGACACCTGAGCCCGCGATACGGTCAGATGATACTGGTCAGCGGATACCCTGTTTTGACAGCTGTCAATTGATCACAACATTGATGTGGAATATATGTGTACAATATCAGTCTTCCTGTGCTCCCAAACTGGCTAGAAAGTGTGAGGATTAAACACTAGTTTCCCTGTGATGCGGACGGACGGGTGGGCGGGCGGGCCGTGTACGGTCACATGATTACCAAATTTTCTGGGATGGGTAGATTTACTTACCCATGGTGCTCCGCAGGCGCGCTTCGCGCGCCAGAGCTCCGCTATAATTTAGGTAGATGTTCACCGGCGAAGGCAAGACAGTGCTCTACTTGCAGTGAAGGAGCGCAATAAATCAGTAGGTGAATACTCAAATCTTGAGTGCGTGGATGTTTAATAGACTTTATTCACGATACCCGCCATCTTTACACGCGCTAAAGGGCTGATGGGGAAAAAGCAATGTCACGTGGTTTCTCAGGGGGCAAACAAATGATAAAGGCTGCCAATGCAAAAAATCGCGGTCGTACTTAATCGATAGAAATCAATACTCGGAAATCAATCGATATCATCCGCCGATTGTTATCGATTTATGTAGAAAAATTGATAGAAATCGAAGTCATAGAAAAAATAATTTATCGTTCATTATCGATTAAAAAATGGATAACAATCGATAGTAATCGACAGTAACCGATAACAGTAATAATCTTGAGGAGTGCATGGTTCAGGTATTCTCGAAACATGATGATGCTATTTGGCAAGCGACAACTATTATTACAGTTTTTTTAACCCTCTCGCAAATAAATTGTTGATGTCTCTCAAGACAATCCTTGCAACGAAACAGAGTCGAGCCCTACAGGATGGTCGTAAATTTTAAGTGTTACAGATTAACTTCCAATACTACTCAAAGGTTTAGACACTCTGATGAGACGTGAAGCCCTAATCACTGCGAGCACGTGTCATTTCACAATCTATTTTGCATATTGTTATTTTAGAAACCTTAGGGGCCGACCATTCGACTTTTGCAGGGAGGTATGGGTGATTTCAGAAAAAAATATATCCTGAAGACTGATTTCGAGGGAAAAAGATCCTGCAAGGAAATACCTTGGGGGAAAAAATTCTTGCTCTGAAAATAATATATAGTTACAGGTATGTCAAGTGTATGTCGGGGAAAAATCTAACGCCAGAGGTTTGGAGAGTTTCTTTTTTTACCCAAACCAAATCACACATAACCCCCTCAAAAGTCAAATGGTCGGCTCCTTAAGTTTCCATGCTCAGGAGAAAAGGTCCACATGCTTTTCCATGACAACAACAGTCTTCCTGAAGATCAAAAAACTAGTAGTGCAGAGTAAAAGATAAGAAAAAAAACAAACAAAACAAAAGTGCACAGTTAAGCTGGTAAATATTTGATGTTTCACAGAAAACAAGCAATTTACGGTGGAAATTTATTGAAAGTGTAAAGTATTGCCAGAATGTTGAAAAAGTGTGCAGCTCTGCAGAAAACGCAAAACAGACTTATTTAGTCTCGTAAAACAACACTCAAACGTTGCTAAGCACAATCGGAGATACACTCATTGAAAAGGTGTCGGAATCTTTCATACTCAAATGAGTGTAGCCAATCAGGGTACCGTTCACTCAGCCGATTTCTGATAAGTCAGCAACTCTGCGTAAATATCGCATATGCACACTCTATGAAGTATTCTATATATAGCGGTTTTCACTTGACTGTCGTAAAACCAAAACCAAAGTAAATACACTAGCCAACCAAAGGGCGTAGTAAAACCAAAACCAAAACCAAAACCAATCCCTTTCGACAGTCAAGTGAAAACCGCTCTATAGTGTATCATATTTTGTTCCGGTCATGAATGTTCCATCTCTGAGC